GACTGCAGGGGGAGGTATCTGTTGTCCATCTCTGGATTGCAAATGCAGATGCGCTTCAGGAGGGAGTTGACATCCTGATGGAAGATGTCATAGTTGGGCCCAAATGATTAGCATTCCGTAAAAGGACGTAGAGCTGGGAAAGACTGTGAATGTTCTTAGGGTATGTGCCAGGCGCAAAGGACTGTGCGTTACCTTGTTACCTTTCACTCCTGCCTGAAGGACAGTTGCTTGTAGTTACCTGGGTGTCCACTCCCTGACCCAACTGGCTTGTTAGGTACCCAAATACTCTGCACTGAGCTATGCCAGCCTGTAGTTTGCCATGTAAGTTAACAATAGGTACGCCTAAGTCCTGGAATCCCTTTGAAGCATCCCCCTTTAGTGTCCAGCCTCTTCTTCACTGAAGAGTCACAGAAATACCAGTTCTGTGGTCCTCAAGGGAACAGTGTACAAACCAGTTTATATGCTATAACTCAGGATCAGTTTCTAGCTTAATTCAGAGTAGGTTTACTTAAGATTCAAGAGATCACAGAAGCAAAAGGTACTATATATAAAACAAAATCATAATGCACTTTCTAGAGACTAGACCTAAGAGACTAACCTCCCCCCTCCCCGAGAAGTTTCTTACACAAGATATTGCAACAGGATTATATACTCGGTAACATTGGATTTCCTTTTTGTTTGTTTTATCAGTTAACCTGCTAAGTCAACTAAGCTCAGTTATGTTTAGAGCAAATGTGAGGCTCATGAAGGATTTCTACCTTTTGATCACTGTTATTGAAATCTGGAATGGCTGCTAAAATCTCATTAATAGCTTGAAAAGAGCCCTCAGGCTACATAATAATACTGTTTATGCTCAGAGCAATGTGTAGACTTAAACCAACTAATCTCCAAGCCTTAAGTTCTCTGGGGGGTAGGCGAGCAAAAGTGGAAATTGGGGGGGGAGGGAAAAGCTGAAATGACTGTCCCAAGGCCACATAGTGAATCAATGGCAGAGGCACAATTAGAATTTGGGACTTCCTGACTCCCAACTTTGTGGCTGCTCCTCTGAACCATTCATACTGACATTTTCCAAATGGAGTCGAAGATGATTATAATGTTCTACATTCTTTTGGCTGGTTCTGGATTTTTGTGTCTCTTCTCTTTCTCTTTGATTTAGAGCACAGATATTGTTTCAAAACCTGGAAGATGGAGATCAGTCTGATGGCTGGATTGGCATTCTGCTGCTTCTGAAAGAAAGGGAGAGGGAGATAATGGAAAGAGACCTTTTTCCAATTCAGCATCTGCAGTGCAAATGTTGTAATTTAAGTCTTACGAACAGTTCTTGTAAAGGAAACCCTTAGGGATCACACCATTTCTGTCTCTGAAGATCTTTAATTGACAATGAAAACGAATCAGTAGTGGGATATTGTAAATCCATCCAGCATTGTTGGCTTGTGTTGTTTACGTTGCTCACATAAGCTAACCACAAGAACAATTCATGATGTAAAACACATTATTTCTGGCTTTGTTTCTAAAATGAGTTGCCTCCAATCTCTGCTAGTGAATTTCCTCTTTGTACTCCACTGATCTGGCAGGAAAATGATGCTGCAATCTTCCTCTGTCTCAAATATGATGGCCATCAGTGCCAGGAATGTTTCTTTTCCTTTTCTGGGAGGCTCTAGGGCACATTCAATGCAGAGACTGTTCCACAGCTATGGGGATGTATATGATAATAGCTAATGGAGATTCTGCAGCTATAGACAGTTCTGCCGCTGATCCAACAAGAACAGCCATGAAGTGAATGTCTTCCTTCACGGGACTCTGTTGCTTACTTGGTTGTCTTTCTTTGGAAGTGCAAGCTTTGTTACACAAACAAAGTATTCAAAAGTTGCAACACACACTGTGGGTCTTTCAAGAAGCAGTTCGTTTTGGAGTACCATTGAGTTGAAGCTGCAGTTGGTGTATCTTTGAGGATGACCAAGGAAATAACTTGTTTAAACTGGAGGAGACACACTGCTTAGATTAAGTTCCAACATGCACAGTGTTTTTACTTTCTCTATTAGAGAGATTCTCTATCTACTCTAGTGTAATCATTTAGGCTGGAGCCTGCGGGAGTTAAATGCCTAGCTTCCTTAGGTAATTCCTTTCCTACATGATTCTCTTTCTGCCCGTCCATGTGGACTGCTTTCCCCCTTTTCTGGTGTTCTCAGGCAGACTTCCATGAAGTAAGAGTAGTTATAAATTCCCCAAAAACTTCCCCACTCCCTCTGGGACAGTTGTGGAACCTCTGTACATGTCACATCCAATGCTGGGAATCCTTTGCTTTGCATTTCTGGATCTGTGCTTACTGAAACGCCAGATTTGCAATAAAAAAGCCTAACCCAGAGACTCTCAACACTTGGGATATATTACAGTAAAACTCCAATAGTCTGGCATCCAATAGTCCAGCACTCCTCTGGCATCAAAATAGCAAGAGCCTAGTGAGTGAGCTTCAGCAAAAAATGAGTCACAAGGTAACAGCGGCAGCAGCTGAACTGAGCAAAAAGGGTAAAAAAGGCTTAAAAAAACTAAAACATTACAGTATAATGTATTCAGTATGTACAATAAAAAGGGTTAAGAACACTTTATATACAGTATATCATGTATACAGTATATAGAACCAATTTATAGTACCTCCTGATAGTCCGGTATATTTGATAATCCAGCACCACCTAGGTCCCATAGATTCCAGATTATCGGAAGTCTACTGTATAATGCTATTGAAAATCAATGGACAGTCCTCCCCTGTAATACTGTGGGCAGTATTCTCATTCAGAAAGCTCATGAACTGTTCTGTTAGGCCTTTTCCAGGAGAGTCATGTACAGACCAGAAACAGATAGTGTTTATTTACTTGGCTCATACAAAATTAGAGGGGGCGCAGAGAAGAATTGGTGTGGAAACAGGCCCACCGCTGGAGCAGGCTGTTGCCCCAGGGCTCGGTGATTCAAAGAAGCCCCAGGCTCTTTGAATTGCTTCCAGAGTGCCCCACCACATGCTCATGTGGCTCTAAGGCCAGTGGAGGTGCACTGTGCTCAAGGCGGTGTGGAGGGTTCACTGCCCTGGCCCCTCCTCTTCTAACTAAGGCTCTGCCCCTTACAGGAAGAGAGAGTTTCCGTCTCCCACCCCCCCTTCCCCGCAACACACACACCTTGCTTAGCAGCTTGAGTGGACTGTAATTTAAAACACTAGGAGTGTTTATCTTTAAAAAAGCAGGAAATGGTAGAAAAAGCGGACTGGGAGCTTCTGTTCTCACTGCCTCCTAACACAAGAACAAGGTGACATTCATTAAAATTGGAAAGTGGCATATTCAAAATGGATAAAAAGAAATACTTTTTTTCATAATGTATCATTAGACTGTGAAACTTGGTGCTATCATTGAGGCCAAGAATTTAGCTGGGTTCACTGAAGAATTGGACCCATCTATAGATATCTTGAGATATAATTGTTAGTGCTAAAAAAAGAGTTTTGGAGGAGCTAAAAGCTTCATGCTCTGATGCTTCATGCAGTCTTTAATTATTAGGGGTGAGGATAAGACTTCCATGGTGGCAGATTATCCCTTTGTTTTCTGAGGGTCACTTGCACTTTCTTATGATGGCAGCATCTGTCAGAAACAGGAGACTAGACCAGACGGACTATGGTTTTGATCCAGTCTTTCTACAAATCATCTATCACAGATTGTCAGAGTGCCGCTGGCTCTCTGCAAGGTACTCCATCCAGTTAATAAGTGGGCTGCAGTATACTGCATTAGCTGTTGTTCTGAATGGATTGAAGATGTAGCCACCTGTAACGTGTGTTGCAGAATTCCAGTCTAGGAGAGAGAAATTCAAGAAACACAATAGTATTTTAGGTTAGGAGTAAAAGTAGTGCTATTCTTCCTTGGTAAATTTAAACTGCTTATTATTGGAAATACTCTTATATTATAGTGGTGTGAAATTTTTTTGAATGTCAGGTCTCTGTACTTCAGAGCCAAGATGATTATATTGTGTCACTGGTCAATTTAATTTTGTATGCTTCAGAGCCAAGATGATTATATTGTGTGTCTGGTCAATTTAATTTTTTATGAAAAAAAAATCAAATCCTATTTGCTGGAGTTCTGGTTAATCATGATCAATTTATTGAACTTGATTTATAACATATTTAGCCACTTTAATATCTGTTTTTAATATATATGGATTAGTAAGTGAGGACAGGTGGCCTAGTCAAAGGTGCATGATCCATTTATTTGTATGACTGACTGATTCAGTAGGCTACTTAGATATGCATGCAACTTTAAACAAATGATTAGTTTTACTGAAGTAAATGGAACTACTCAGTGGGGCTGATGGACTCACCGGGTCCCTGAGCAAGGTGGTGGTGGGAGGTGCGGGGGATCTGGCTCCATTCTTCCTGAAGGGGTGAGACCATAGCAGAAATGGCCATGGCTGTGGCTAGCCTCCTCAAGGCAGCCCTTAGTGGTACCTGGAGCATGCTGGACAGGGCTCTGGTGGCAATTTAAAGGGCCCAGGGTTCTGGTGGCTGCCACTGCTGCAGTAGCAATGGCGGAGGGGAGCCTTGGCCCTGGCCCTGGCCCTGGCCCTTTTAAGTTGAGTGTTGGGGCACTTGATTCCTCTGTCCCCTGTTAGTGGGCCTGGAATGATTGCTACCCTCAATGTTAGAAACTTAAGTACTGTTGCTGAATTGACAATTGACATTGCTGAATTGGTGTTCGCATATGTTATATACAAACATGCATGCACACACTGTTTATTTTAAGTTCAATGTTTATTTGAAATGCACTGAGTTGAGGCCCTACCTGGTGAAAACACAAATTCCAGCTGACCTTCCTCTAGCTCTCAAATTCCCTCCCAACAATGTTCTCAAATGTCCTTTCCTATCTTAATTTCGAGGAAAGATGTCATTTTTATAATTATTACTTGTTATAAAAAGAGATCGTCTCTTCCATAATATTCATGTCAAGGAAACATTTATGCTTTGTTCCTAGGATTAACCCATCACCATCACACAGACACACATGCAGACAGACATCAAAACCAAAAGAAGCAGGACTAATTAATAAGATGTACAACAAATCTTGATAAAATGTACTCAGATTTCTTCCTTGCTTGAGATAATATCTATTATCAGGTATGTTTGCTGTTCCACCACAGAAGACATAATACATAATAACTTGTCTGTACCATGATTATTAGGATAAATCTTCAGACAAAGAATGTGTGTATAATGGAAACTTCAAAAAGCTGCAAATTTAATATGATAAATGATCAAAAATACAATGTATTAGTTACTTAGCTTAGATTTTAATGTTTGTAAAATGAGCAAAACAATATATCTATATGCCAATGTCACATTATCATAAACGTATTTGCTAAAATTTAAGACATAAATTGCAGTTAAATTTAGTAATATACGATAGTATATTTGAATGTTTCTTTGTGATTAAATGTGAACAATTGCTCCTTTAAGGTAAAGGTCTGTGCATGTGTGATTAATCAGATAGAAATGACAGTGCGGGCAGCTCATGCCATGCCTAGTTATCAGAATGATTGATTTTAGTCTCTGCTGCTGGATGAAAAAATATCTGTTAATAACTATAGCAGCAAAACTCCTGATGTCACTGATAGCACAAATCACTTTTCACATTCTGTATTATCTGGCTCATTTACAGATATAGAGCATACAAACTGATCCGGTGGAACGCCAAATTATAACATAAAAAATGACACAGATTTATGCAAGAATGATGACTGCAAAGCACATTGCATCAGTACTATAAGAAGTTGAAAATTGCTGCTGTTGTAGATGTCATAGGCGTGTTATTTTCTTTGGTATGTGTACAGGATATGCTGTCAGGCTTTTATCATGCAAACTATTTTTATGAGCTTTACCTCTCTCTCTTCCTGCTAAATATAGAAGATCACTGCATCTGACTGTTATTAAGTGTGCTTAAAATATTCCTTAACAAACTTGGTTGATTTACACTTTGATATAAAACATTGGTTGTTTTCCTGTCTCGCAGGAATGGATAATGCAATAAATATAATACATTACAGATTGTTAGGCATTTTAAGATCTACTGGTAGAAAATGCTATATGAAAGACAGACGTTATTATGGGAATGTTACAATAGAGCAGGGTTTTCCAACCTATGGGTCGTGACCCAAATATGGGTCACCATTACATTTCCAAAGGGTCGCCAAGTCTCTCCCCAGGTGGCTGTGCTCCCCCATTTCCCCCCATTTTTGAATTGCCTTGTGTCACCAAGTCTTCCTGAATTGTCAAAATGGGTCCCCACTGGAAAAGATTGGGAACCGCTGCTCTAAATAAATAAATTGTAAACAAATATAACTACAAATTGTATAGCATCAACAAAATTGTTTATATGGCAAAAAATATACTAATTGTAATGTAATAAGCTGTGTGAAGCCTGGTTTTTGGGTAAGTTTAAAATCTCATTCGAACTGATATGCAAATGCACCATAGCTTGGAAGTATAGTATGACCTAGCAAATGCCAGAGAGAGAGACAGAGTGTGAGCAAGCAGGCTTTTCCCTATGTTGGTTAAAGAAGCTTGGTGCTATGCGCTAACTGCCCCTTTTGTTGTTTATCCTCCTTCATTCAGAGAGAGAGTACTTTGTATGTTCTTCGTAAATAAACAAAACTGCATCTAAGAAATATCTATCGCCGATTTATGCTCTCAACAGGAACATAATCAGGGCCCCAAACTTTGACTAGCCACTTAGATTGAAAAGGGGTAACTATAAAATGTATCGCATGTTTAGTGTGTACCATTTTGGCAGAGCAGAATGATTTATCCATCTCAGCCTGTCTTACCTACATTTTACAGATAATGCAGTTGAGACAAAGAGGGTAAGTTGTAAAAATCAATTTGCTACCTCTCCCCTCCCTCCTGCTGCTGCATCTGCTCCATCCTTAATCATTCCAACTGCAATCTTAATTCCATGCCTCCTCCCCTCTGTTCCAGCATTTTATAGCTTCTTGAATTATCACAGACAAAGAATTGTGCTCAGGGTTGCAAGAAGTGCCAACAATCCCTCAAGTAAGTAGTATTAACCCTCATTAGTGCCAAACCCAGTCCCCTCAACCAGCACCACCAATCCACACCAGCCATTCCTGCCCTTACCATCACTCAGTACCCCCTATCCATCACTACTCTACGATAATCCTCCTGATATGCATGAGTTCCAGCAGTTCACCCAGAAACCCAAAATAAGCTACCATAATAATTTGAAACCACTGATTTAGCACACAAATCTTTTGCAGAAAGTGCACACACTGATGTTCTCAAACTCTGAACCTTTGATTCACTTGGAATGCTCCATATTTGTCTGCTCATTAGCTTCATCTGGAAAGTTTGGGGGAAAACCCCCAAATTGCCTCCTTGTGCCTGAAATCTTATAATTCACTCCATGCTACATCTCATACATGTTTCATCATGGAATTGGGCTGTGTCACGAAGGAGGTCAGAGTAGATGACTATAATAGTCACACTCTTCTGGTCTAAAACTTATGAATATAAATGATGAGGGGAAGCACTATGGTACAAAAAGACACAGTTGATGCTTGCTCAGGAGGGCAAAAATATTTCATCCTCTATTACTGTGCTATTTGTGTGTAGTAGTGTCAGAGACCCAGTCAATGGTAGGGTTGTATAAACACATAATCTCTGCTCCAAAGGATTTAGGTTAATTTTATTACAATTATAAAATTGAGTAGAACTAGGGCCAGAAATAAATTATTCAGCTCTACTTGCCAGAGTAGCATGTGCATTTTCACTGAGAGAGCCTTCATAATCATTTTACAGAGGCCAAATGCAATATGACAAATCCATATATCACTACTCTAAAATGGAATAAAATGTTTTTGTTAATTTCTTACATTTTTGAATGGTCTAGTGATTCTTTTGGGAACAACTATAACTCAACAGCAAGAGATTTACCCACCTACTATAGCTATGGAATCCTGCACTCAAATGGCAAGACAATATGGCACTTCTAAAATGTACTCCTGATAGTGTTTTTCATCAACAAAGCATTTTACAGACAATTGCTGCTTCATTCTTAAAATATCCTTCTATGTATTATCCTAGGAAAATGTTAGAAAGGGTACAGAGGAACTCCATGTAAAATGCTTCCACCAAAGTAAAAGGAAAGTTGGGGCAATTTCCTTAGCAGTAAGGTACGTTACCTGTCTGTGATTACTACTAAATCATTGCTTAGCTCTTGGACTTAAAAAAAAAATACTTCCAGAAAGCAAAACTCTCCTTCGCTTACACGAGTGTGGAATTCTACACTGAACTGTTGATATACTCCCTATATTGTTCCAGAAAGAGTAAATGTGTCCTTCAAGTTCACTTAATGTGTCTGTTTATATGTGGTGTTATTGCCTTCATTGGTTTGGTTTGTTTGGGAAACCAGCATTGTTTGCAGGTATGGTGGACATAAAGTGGGGATTATCAACGATTAAGGGGATATATTATTCTGATAGCACCTTGCTAAACTATTTCTAGTGCACATCACTACCTTATTTTACAAGTAGGAAAACTGAGGCAGAGAATTCAGGCATGAGGGATTGATGAGGGAAACTAAAGAAATATGCTGGAATTTGTCAGCTATGGACAGACGTCTATAATATTCTTTCTTAATATTATTTTTCCAAAGGGAAGGAACTTGTGGTTAATTCAGTAAATTATGATTCATTTTAAACCATTATAAATGTTTCCCCCATTGTCTGATTTTAGTAACTTTTTAAAACCTACCACTAGTTACAGAATTTTATTTTTTTCATTAAGTTGCTTTAAACAGTTGAACTTATATGCATTTTTCATACAAATTGTCAAGACAAGAAGGAACCTTGTGTGCCCAAAACTGGTGCTTGCTTTTGTTTTGGTCCTAGAATAATTATTACACTATTTAAACAGATGTATCTGTTAGCCTTCTGTTTTCTTATTTTTTATACATCTGTTCTATTATTTTGTTGCCATATCGATACCTGCTGATAGCAAGAGGAAGCCAGTAAGGAAGGAGTGGGCCAATCATGAGCCCAAAGCAGCAAAAACAAATTTAGCGGGACAGAAGTGCCAGCTAATGATGATGCAGTGTTTCACTCTGCTGCTTGTTTAATAAACCCACTCGTCATCTACGGCAATTTCAGTTCCTAACCCCACACAGCAACAATGATAAGAGAATTATTGCCTCTTAAGTGTAGCCCCCTTTTCACCTGCATCCTCTTGACTAATAAAATGTACTACAAATCTTGATAAAATGTACTCAGATTTCTTCCTTGCTTGAAACAATATCTATTATCTGGCATGTTTGGTATTCCACCACAGAAGACATAATACCGAATAACTCATCTGTACCATGATTATTAGGATAAATCTTCAGATAAAAAAATGAGCGTATAATGGAAACTTCAAAAGCTGCAAATCTAATACGATAAATGATCTAAAATACCATGTATTGGTTTATTTAGCTTAAATTTTAATGTTTGTAAAATGAGCAAAACCATATATCTTTATGCCAGAGCAACATTGTCATAAATATGTCATGTCTACAGCAGTTCCTGTTCCTAACCCAACAAAGCAATATTGATACGAGAATTATTGCCGCTTAAGGATAACCCACTTTTCACCTGCCTCCTCTTGAATGTGGAATAAGAGAATTTAAGCAGGCCAAAATTCACAATGCTGGTGAGGAAAGGGATATTTTCATTTTCTGTTTCAAGTAGTAATTATGATCTAGAGTTGCAGACCAAGGACAGTAGACTACATAGAGTTTATATTTCAGTCTGTCAGTTGTGGTGAAAAGAAAAAGATGTCTGATCCTTTTGGCAATAATTTTTGCCTCCTGGTGAGAATTTACCATCATTTTTTTTTTCTGATAATGAGTGTCTAGTCTCCTAAGAAGTCTCTTAGACTTCCTTCTAGCCCTGAATTTCCTGTATGCTACCTTCTAGTCTCCTAAGAAGGTAGTTTAAGTAAGAAGAAAGATTTAATTTTTTACTGTTAATTTATAATCAAAGCAGTTATTATTACTTGTTAGGTGATTGGCATATCACAGAAATGTGCACTATTTTCATCAGCTTCTGTACCTAATGATTGGAAGATAGCTAACGTGACACCACTATTTAAAAAGGACTCTAGAGGTGATCCTGGCAATTACAGACCAGTAAGTCTAATGTCAGTACTGGGCAAATTAGTTGAAACTATAGTAAAGAATAAAATAGTCAGACACGTGTATGAATATAATTTGTTGGGGGAAAGTCAACATAGTTTCTGTAAAGGGAAATCATGCCTTACTAATCTTCTAGAGTTCTTTGAGGGGGTCAACAAATATGTGGACAAGGGGGATCCAGTGGATGTAGTAAACTTAGATTCCAGAAAGCCTTTGACAAGGTCCCTCACTAAAGGCTCTTAAGTAAAGTAAATTGCCATGGGATAAGAGGGAAGGTCCTTTCGTGGATTGATAACTGGTTAAAAGACAGGAAACAAAGAGTAGGAATAAATGGTATGTTTTCCGAGTGGAGAGCGATAACTAGTGGCATCCCCCAAGGATCTGTCCTGTGACCCATTCTATTTAACTAATTTATAAATGATCTAGAGAAAGGGGTAAACAGTGAGGTGGTAAAATTTGCAGATGATCCCAAACTGCTCAAGATAGTTAAGACCAAAGCAGACTGTGAAGAACTTAAAAAAGATCTCACCAAACTAAGGCTATGTCTATACTGCACCCTTCTTCCTCAAAAGCTTATGCAAACAAAGCGCGAAGCAGACTATTGCTGCGTTATATTTGCATAATTAATTAGGGGCCATTTTTGCTCAAGAGGCTTTTGCGCAAAAAGGAGCTGTGTTGACGGCTCCTTTTTGCGCAAAAACGCCCTCTTGTGCAAGAGCCGTTCTTCCAGGAAAAAAATGCAGAAGAATGGCTCTTGCAGAAGAGGGGAGTTTGGAGCAAAAAGGAGCCATCTACACTGCTCCTTTTTGCGCAAAAGCCTCTTGTGCAAAAATGACCCCAATTAATTATGCAAATGAAGCATGGCAATATTCAACTCCGCGCTTCATTTGCATAAGCTTTTGCGGAAGAAGGGTGTAGTATAGAAGTAGCCTAAGTGATTGGGCAACAAAATGGCAAATGAAATTCGAGGTTGATAAATGTAAAGTAATGCATATTGGAAAAGATAATCCCAACTATATACAGGCAGTCCCCAAATTACACGGATCCGACTTATGTCAGATCCGCACTTACGAATGGGGCTTTCTCGCCCCAGAGCTCACAGGCAGCGGTCAGACACCTCGAACTCCGGGGCGAGAAAAGCTGCTCCCGGTGCCCCTGGTCTGCTGGGGACCGTCTCCAGCAGACCAGGGGCACCAGGAGCAAAGCGGGTCCCGCGCCAGAGCAAAGCCTCAGAGGCGAGGCACCCCGCCGCTGCGGCTTTGCTCCCCGTGTCCCTCGTCTGCTGGGGGGCGGGGGCG